AGCTTCTTTGTGCTCCAGGCTAGCACTCTACCACTCGCTAGCCTTGAGCTGAAGAGCTGAGGGACAGTGCCCAGGCTCAGAGTTCAAGCCCCACGACTGGACAAAAAAAAAAAAAAAACCCAGGTGCCAGTGGCTCACGCTGTAATTCTAGCTGCTCAGGAGGCCAAGATCTGAGGATCATGGTTGGAAGCCAGACTGGGCAGGAAACTGCAAGACTCTTATCTCCAATGAACTACTCAAAAAAGCCAGAAATGGCACTGTGGCTCAAATGATAAAGAGCTCATCTTGAGCAAAAGAAGCTCAGGGACAGTGTCCAGGCCCAGACTTCAAGTCTCAGTCTGGCAAAGAAAAAGAAAAAATAGAGTATGTATGTACTGATTCAGTTAATTATTTCCTCCTCCTCTTCCTCCTTCTGCTGCTCCTCCTCCTTGTTCTGTTTTTGCTTCTGTTTCTTCTGCTCCTTCTTTCCTTCCTTCCCCCCCCCCACTTCCTTCTTCTTTTGGTCCTGGACTAGAACTGGAACTTGGTATCTGATGCGTTCACTCATTTGCTGGTGATCTACCCCCTGAAACATGCCTCCAAACACTTGATTGAGTTCATTTGATCCAGCTCAAGTTCAGGTGCTATCAAGAATTGGGTGGGAAGAGGTGTAGTAGCCCAGTAGGGGAGCATTTGCCTAGCATGCCTCAAGCCCAGAGCTTGGGGGAGGGGGGGAGGCTAAGATGCTTATGATACTGGCATAATAATAGACAAATAGACTCACAAAATAGAATTGAGAGTCCAGAAGTAAACTTTCATTTTTTTCCTTGAACTGTTCTTGTAGAAACACTGCTTTAAAATATACTAGAAGGCCGGGCGCTGGTGGCTCACGCCTGTAATCCTAGCTACTCAGGAGGCTGAGATCTGAGGATCGCGGTTCAAAGCCAGCCCAGGCAGGAAAGACTGTGAGACTCCTATCTCCAATAAACCACCAGAAAACCGGAAGTGGCGCTGTAGCTCAAGTGGTAGAGCGCTCGCCTTGAGCTAAAGAGCTGAGGGACAGCGCCCAGGCCCAGAGTTCAAGCCCCACGACCGACAAAAAAAATAAAAATAAAATATACTAGAGAGGGGCTGGGAAGGTGGCTCAGTGGTAGAGTGCTTGCCTTGCATGCCTGAGGCCCTGGGTTCGATTCCTCAGCATCACATAAGCAAAAAGAAAAAAGCCGGAAGTGGCGCTGTGGCTCAAGTGGTAGAGTGCTAGCCTTGAGCTGAAGAGCTGAGGGACAGTGCCCAGGCCCAGAGTTCAGGCCCCACAACCGGACCCAAAAAAAAAAAGATAAAATAAAATAAAAATAAAATATACTAGAGACTGCCTGATATTGGTGGCTCATGCCTGTAATCCTAGATACATGGGAGGCTGAAATCTGAGGATCATGGTTCAAAGCCAGCCTGGGCAGGAAAGTCTGTGAGATTCTTATCTCCATTTAACCACCAGAAAGTGGAAGTGGTGCTGTGGTTCAAAGTGGTAGAGTGCTGGCCTTGAACAAAAGAGCTCAGGGATAATACCCAAGCTCTGAGTTCAAGCCCCATGACTGACAAAAATCAATGAATGAATGAATCAATCAATCAAAGTTATAGAGTGATAAAATGAGAGATAAGAGAAAAAAAGTAGATTATTAAGAACTGAAAAGATACTCTACAGAATGATAGGAAAAAATTATGACATCTATGTCTGACAGGAGGTTAATGTGTAGAATATGTAAATAAATCATAAAACTGAATTAGAAAAAAAAAAAAACACTCAGAAGTGGGCACATGCTACCCCAGGCTGGATATCTATGACCCAGCAATGCTCAGTCTCCACCACCAACTGCTTCTGCCTGCCTTTGCAGACATGGCTGGCCAAGTCCACATCCTAACTACTGAGGAGCGGGACCAGCTGCTGCCACACCTGAATGTGGGAGGGGCTGGGTGGCCATGACACCATCTTCAACCATTTCAAGGATTTTAGGGCATTTTGGGGTGCAGGACAAAAGTTGCCTCACAGACTGAGAACCTGGACCGCCATCCGGAATGGTTTAATGTATCTACCCAAGTC